CAACTTTACAATATATTTTTAGTATTTATAGTATATCTTTGTTTTTATTATCAGACTTCCAATTCAGATAAACTAATAGAATTATGATTTATTTCTATTATATTGAATTTAATTTGATATCTTTTTTCTTTAATTCAAGACCTTTGATAGCCTAGTTGATAGTACCTTTTATCTAAAATTCTTGTTTACTTAATTTCTTTATATTGATATTTGTTTTTTAAGTTTAATTTTTATAGTAGTATTATTAAAGATCTATATTATTTTTTTACTTGGATTTTTTTAAATAGACTCTGATTATTCTAGTTTTACAAATTTACATAATCACAAGAACTTGTCTTAAGTTTGTATTATCTATTATTGGTTTGTATTTCTTTGTATAACTAAGTTATACAAATGTCTTTTAACCTAATAGTCATATTAGTATAATTGTAGTTACAGATATCTTATTCTGATTAATTAACAGAATGTTGTTGTTATAATACAGATGTATTTTTCTAAATTTAATTTTAAGTAGGTTTTGAACTTATAACTTGTCATTTAGAAGGTTAATAACTTATTTACTTTACCAAATTACTATACTTTTTTTAAATTTTTAAATAAAAAAATTTTTTTTAATAAAATATCTCTAATTTAATTAAATAAAAAAATTAATTATCTTAATAAAATTTTAAATAAATAATTTATAATATTAAATATTCAATTAAAATTTTTAAATTAAATCAAATTTAATTATATTTGAATTTGATTTAATTTATAAATTTCAAAGTTAATTTTAATTTAAACTCAAATATTTGATTAAATTAAATTAAATTAAATTAAATAAAATTGTAAAATCCTATTAATAAGGATGTAAAAAAAATATTAAGCTTATAAAAAGAAGATAATAAACTTGTAAAAAAAAAATACTAAGTTTGTATGAACTTTATAAGAACCAAAACTTAAATTAACTATAAAATAAAATATAAAGATTTTAATAAATTTATCTTTAAATATAAAATAATTTTAAGATTTAAACAAGAATCCAGATTATGAAATATGTTAATAAACATTTTTATGACCTATTAAAATTAATATAAAAGATATAATAATCAGAAGGTTTAAAATAAACTATCTAGAGGATGGCGATCCTAGTATGTAGTTAGGTTGTCATTTTCCAAGTAGCAGATCTAAGGTTCAAATCCTACCTATAACGAAATTTGGAAATTATATCTGTGATATGGAAACTGTTTTCTGTCGATCAGTTGGCCTCATGCGGCTGTAACCCAGGTACATCAAGTCGGGGTTCTACCGACATTGGGAGCTCGGGGGCATCTATGTGAAGTGTAACATTATATAGTAATGTACATAGAGGAATGTTAATAACCGGTGTTGCATAAGACTTTGGTGCAAACTTACGATAAGACCACTGGGCATAAAAGACTAAGGAACCGAGAAGACAGAATCTCACTTGGAAATTTCTGAGTAAAGAGGTAGTACAAACTTTCGACAATGCTGTCAGACTGATAAAAGCCCACGAAACACCTTCATAAGAACTGAAGATTAAAACTGAATGTCAAGATGTATAGAGAAGCATATGACCAACCAGGTCACTGGATTTACTGGAGGAAAAGGATACTAAGGTATACCATACCGGGCCATCTGGATTGGTAGTCTGAACTGAGACTGATGGTTCTGAGTTGCAGCTAGTAGGAGATGATAGAGAAGATGTCAGAAAGATTGATATCAGGGTTTGGGTGAACTTTACAAGGGTAGAAATAGTGTAACATAGTGGTTTAAAGTTAGCTTTGATTACAAGTGTTAGGTAACTATAGCATGTTACATAAAACTAGGTTAGCTGTGTGTGGGACATGGAAGGCTCTAGTAACGATGCTTCTGAGGATACACTGTATGAAATAAGATATGAAGTCCTAAAGATACAGGTAAGCATCTAGACCTTCTTGACTGACTTACATAATGGAGATGATCTAGTGATACAGTAAGGGTTGCAGTACAGAGGGTTTAAATAGGCAACACCCCTAGTTGGGTTACAGGTATGGCAGCTAGTGTAGAACCATCAGTGGACTACTTAATTAGATACCAAAAGTGTACATGTGACTAGTTGTACTCTCTAATATAAGGTAACTCCTTTGAGGCCTTGGCCATGAGTCCCTATATCCTGACTATACTGAATAAAAAACCCCAGCTCCAAAAGAAGCTAGTTTAACAAAAAAAAAAAATAAATAACCATCCAAGCAAAAGTATTAGATATAGCAAATAGTAAAGAATTTTCAAGTAAACTCTTTAAATAAGTAATATAAAAAAGTTACATATATAATTAATTGTATTTTTATTTTGTAATAGTTTCAAATATATAAGCACTTTAATTCAAAAAAATATTAATAAAATTAATGATCAAAAAAGATCATTTTAATATCAAAAAAAATAATAAAATAATATTAAAACATTAAAGTAAAAAAAAAGACTCAACTAAAATAACTAATTTAATTTATGTAATTGACAAATTAGAAGAAAGTTAACATATAAACCTGAAGGCAAATTGGCAATAAGACCAATAAAGCATTGAATAGAACCAATAGAACTCTAAATAAAACCAATAGAGCTTTGAATAGAACCAATGGATATTAGTTTTTTGAGTTCTATTCACGTAACCATTAAGCTCTATTGGCCTTATTGCCAACCCTGTCCGAAAGTATAAATCAAAAATAGCTGATGCAAATAGTAAAAGACTGGGTACTTACCATGACAAAATAAAGTACCGTATATGAAATGTATAAACGTTTTTGTAAATATAAATACAGTAACAGATAATCTTGTATTCCACCAGTAAGATGAATTAGACTCATAAAAGAAATAAATTAAAAATAAATAGAAACCCAATTTTTGGTATAAGCTATTACAGCAATAAAATCAAGGTTACTAATAAAAGTTTAGGTGACATACGAAATTATACGTATCTAGTATACAGTATCGCAAGACCAGGAATTAAAGTTTCGCCATTGTGTTATACAACCACGCGCTTCGATTGGGTAATCACATGACCCGTGATGATTACTCTTAGTGATATTTAATAAAACTAACTTAAATTTTAAATTTTGGGTTTAGTCAATATGAAACTAAATATTAAGCTTATTTTATTAATTAAAATTTATAATATGTAATACGTATACATACGTATAATATATATAGTATATCAAGTATATATATTACATGTTAAAAAATCTTAGTAAGATCATGCGCATAAACTTAATTTTATGGTTAAAATGTACCTAAGTCTGAAATTAACATGTGCATATGTATCATACGTAGGTACAAATTTTCATACGTAAAAAAATAATATTTACATATAAGAAAAATTTCTCAATACGTATACGTAATACGTAAAATTACCCTTATACGTACGTACGTACGTACATAGATAACAATAAAGATAAGAACCAAAATTAATTCATACGCAATATAATAACAAGAGCAAACGGCCACGTATGTTTGATATTCAAAATATGATTTACTAAAAACGTACGTAAGTATTTTACACAAAGTTTCAAGCTTTTAGCAACACATGAGAAGTACGTACGTACGTATGTATCTGGTATCAGGTATGTACATAAAAATATCACAAGAAAAAAATTATTATTTATGCATAGTGACACGTTCTAATAGCGATAGCGTTTGATTGTGATATTTTTTTCGCTTAAAAAATTTATTAAGTTTAGCACATTGGCATATAAATAAATGCGCCTAATGATTTAAATATTTAAATTCACATGATACTACAAACATGCCAAAGTGATAGATTAATGTAATAAAACCCTGTCAAGTTCCACGTCTCATAATAAAGCCACTGTGAACACAGAAATATCTCCTTTGCATAGAAAATTTAATATTTAAAGAGTTGAGTTTTTCGGATGGATTGTAAGTGATACAAATTTCACATGTAAATTGCAAAACGCGAGTTACACAAACCTATACCGCAGTAGTAGAAAAGTATGAAAACTACACGTTAACGCGACCGTTCGTTAGATAAGAATTCACATGAATCTTTGAACAGATTCGTGCATGAGAAACGTCAAAAAACAATAAACCGAATAGAGTTTAATTAGTTTAATTACCACGACAATTATGCACAGACTATTTATTTTATGTAGGGGTGGCGGGAATCCTAAGTGGGGCCGGGGGTAAAAGTTCTATTGTACGAGGAGTTAAACTTAATGTATCATAAGAAAATGCAGATCTTGAATCGAACATTTATCAAATTATCAAATAGTATCCAAGAAAAAAGTATTTACTATAATAGAATTAGGGTTGATTGATAATCAATGCAAAGAAAAATGGTTAGTTTATAAACTAAATTCTTTGAATTTTCATTACATATGCAAGTAAAATTAAATCCTTAGCATTAACGTTTAGTTATCGTTATGACGATAAGTTAAAAAAAACCTGCCTTGTATGTTAAAACATTTAATGATTTGCACGGGATAATAATGGTCCAAAGCATTTATATATTTACTGTAAAAAGTTGCATATCGTACCAAATTCATTATCATAACATCTACATACGTATCTACATACGTATCTAAATACGTACGTACTAAAAAAAAAAAAAAAGAATTTGAAACTTTATATATTCCCCTATTCCTTTAAGATAATCCTTTAAGATAATCCTTTAAGATAGTCCTTAAAGATAAGCGTTATTTACCTTTATTATCACTTTCTTTGGATTCAATGGTCTATTTTAGTGGATTGAAATAAAGAGTATATTGATTTTTGTCCTTTTTAACACTTTAACCTTTGAACCTGACTTATAGCGAATCCAGAGCCTAATTACATTCATTCATTTTTTTTTATTTATGCAGATAGCTTTAATAACAAATGTTAAAAATATATTATTATAACGAAAATAACTGACAAGAACTGATAATAACTGGCTAGAACTAATTAGAACTGAATAGAACTGACAAGAGCGCGGGAAGACAATTAAATATATTTAGATATCATACTAAATGACATTTACGGAGACAACGCAGACCTCTACTGAAAAAGACGACGACCTTCGTATCCAAGAATTAATAGCTGCTTCTCAAAAGTTACTTAGTCAAAATACTCAACCCCCTACTCCGACAGCTACTTCTAGTACAGGCTTCAATTTCCACCCAGAGACTGTGGGTCAGGAGAAGCAACACTTACGAACAAGGAAACCAAAAACAAAAGCTAGCTCTGAACATTTAAACGGCTTTGGTGACGCTTCTGATATGTCCTTGCCTATGTCGCATAACGGTTCAACTCCTTCGGTGATTAGTATGACGAACGGCTCGACTCCTGCACATATCGTTAATAATGGAACCACTGTTGGAAATATAAATAGTGGTTCAAACTCTCCTAGCTCTGGGTCTTCAACTTCGACAAACAGTATGACAAACGGAATACGTGGTGACAGAAGATCTTATAAGGATAGAAATGATCCTGAGATTTCTACTAGCCCTCCTGAATTAATAAGAGATCCTACTTCGGAATCTTTTTCCACTCATACTCATATTTGGCCAATCGTTTTTGCCGTAGTGCCACCTATGGGTGCTCTTATTTATGGTAAATCCGATGTCTGGAGTGATTTTCTCTTGTTACTCTTGATTGCTTTTTACCTATATAATATTATTAAAGGTATTTATTACTATATCATAAAATTTTATATAAATTTTTATTATCAATTTAAATTAAATTAATTTTAATTGGATTTAATTAGTTTTAATTGGATTTAATTAGTTTTAATCGGATTTAATTAGATTTAATTAGATTGATTAATTGATATTTATAATATTTTTTGAAAAAATTGATATGATTAATAATTTTTTTTTAATTTTATAGTTCCATGGGAACTTTATTATGCTGCCAGATCAAGACGTGTTGTAAATGAAAATCTTCCAGGCCAGACTGCAGATCCGGCTCAAGAAGCTCAAAGAAAACAAGCTGAAAAAGAACTTCGTTTACAAGAAATGTGGGCATTGTTGCTTGTAGTTGCTTCACCAATAATTGGTGGTTATGCTTTGCATGGTGCAAAAATGTACTTGACTGATTATGACAAGTACATCTCCCATTTCAATATTATGCTTTTCGTATTTGCTGCCGGAATTCGTCCATTGATGCATATTGCTAACCTAGCTAAAAATCGTACCTTATATCTGCAAGAACAAGTTCATTATCCTAGTACTGAAGTGGAGTTATTAAAACGACGTGTACAACATTTGGAATATGAATTTTCTCAATTACGTCGTGGATTTGCAACAAAACGTGACGTTTTAAATGTACGTGATGGTTTTGAACCAACTTTATCTCAACTAAATAAAGCTGTAAGAAGATATGAAAGAAAAGAACAATATCTCCGAAATTATTCCGAGGAGAGATTTGCCTATTTAGAATCTAAACTTCGGGAATTTGATAGTATTATTTCTTGTAAATTACAAGAAGAAGCAATTAGTGTTCCACGTAGCATGATGCAATTTATGTTCTTACCATTTAACATCGCATTCGCTATACTGGGTTATGCTACTTATTTCTTACCAAGATCTTTACGGGGTACAAGACCAGCTCCAATGTTACAACCTGCTTCAAATTCTGATGATGATATCAATAAATTGAATGATGACATATTACAACAAGAAATTTCATACTCTAGAAGTTTACAAAAATATTAATGGACAATATATGATTTCTAAATCATTACTTTTTTTTTTTTTTTTTTGTCTTTTGATTTGCAGAATATGATTATTCTTCATTTCATCAAATATTTCAAATATTTCAAATATTGTATGGAATCATACTTTTTTTTGATTTGCAGGATATGATTATTCTTCATTTCATCAAATATTTCAAATATTTCAAATACTGTATGGAATAATACTTTTTTTGATTTGCAGAATATGATTCTTCATTTCATCAACCATTTTTTTTTGATTTGCAGAATATGATTATTCTTCATTTCATCAAATATTTCAATATTGTATGGAATAGAGTTTAGAGCCGGGTTATAGTAAACCGGGTTACCCGTATCAAAACGGTTCAACCGGGTCAAAAATTTACAACCCGGGTCAAAACGATTGAATATGTAACCTCTAAAAATCTGTTACTATTACAGAAAATATATATAAAATTTAACATATTTATTATTGTATTGTGAAAATAAACACCATTTTTTTCTTATTAATTTATATAAATGTTCAACCCGCTAATCTGGATTTAAAAAAAAGTTACAACCTTTCGGAGGCTACCATACGACTATCGATTGCGAAAATTAGCCTAAAATTTTCTTTTGTATAAATAATCTTTTATTATTATTTTCTTTGCTGTAATACACTATGTGTGTTCGACACGTTCGATAGTACCTCCTTTCGTAATATCCTCCATTAATAATAACGAATAATAGTAAATTATTACGTAATTACGTACGAAATGATTTCCTTAGTTACTTTATTACATATTTTGTAATTAAAAGTTATGACTACATTTTGCGCAATGATTTCTAGCTTATTTTGTTCCTAATAAAAAAATCTACATAAAGGGTCAATAAGGAAAGATCTCTCTTGAATTTTATTATTTTTCGATAATATCAAATCAACTCCACTATCGAAAATTTAAACCAAAAAACTAGTCATCCATAATTCTCGGCGTCACAATTATTCAACCAGTTTTCACCCGATTTCAGATTATATTATAGACGCAGACATATGTTAGTGCCATAACTGATTTTTAACGTCAATTGGACGTAACTCAATGACGTGACGAACATACCTCAAAGATGAGCATTTAATTCCATTAATGGTGTAGATGTAGAATTAGAAAAAGTTTTCTTTTTCTAGATGATAGGCTTGAATAAAAATATACACCTTAGCTTTATTTCTAATTAGGCAATTTGATCATTGGCCAACTTATATAGTTCTATATCACATGATATGAACTGTATTTTCACATGAGAATTAGCCAATCAAGTCTTAAGTTTTAAAAGAATAAAAAAAATTACAAACCGAAACAAAATTAATGTTATAAATGAATTTTGTTAATAAAGATGATGCATCACTTAAATTTAGACCTCTTTCTTGTTTAATTTTTTAAATAGCATTTTCAAGATCTTTTTTTTTTTTCTTTAAAGCGGCAATCTTGCCTGTATGTCTTTTATTTAAGTAACATATGATTACATTCTATATACAAAATCTATCAACGAGGCTACAATTAGCCACACGTACAACTTTAGTCATTGTCTATTTAAAGGTTCCGCTTACAGGTTACCTGCTAATTGCCATACCTGGAACCCACCTGTGAGTTCTCTTTTTAAAGTTTCTGATTTTCAACATTATTGCATATATATGCAACACCTACATTACCATTATGAGATATATCAGGTTAGGGTTACCTGGTTACTATTTATATCAAGGTATCACCTCATTGGATGTTACTAAGTATCCATAGCCCTCGATTCACCCTTGATGCAAGCTTACTAAGCTGGTATCAAGATTACCACTTAGATTCAATTTAGTATATCTTGTATCTACTAAACCAGTTTTAATATTAAAAGTGTTTGAATTTCAGTAAGTCCATTCTTTTTCTATAGCTTCCTTCTATGTTCATCATATCACCTACTAGTGTGCTTTCTTTTTATTTCTGGTATATTTGTTGTGTCTCAGACTAATGCTTGTCTCAGATTAAATCTGACACATTTTAGATGCAAATTGTCAAGTGAGATGTGTGATTTACTAATCGGTTACCTAAGGTGCCTCAGTAGTAATCTAACACAAGGCATTAATTTAATTAATAAATAATACATAAATTATATAAATAGTAATTTAAATAAAGCAATTAAATATTATTTAAAGTTTATTAATAATTAAAAAGTAAAGCTTCTACTATAATTATTACTAATCTTTATTTAAACAAGAGTGATCATTATGACACCTGCTCAAACATTTTCCATTCATCTTTTTATAATTATATTTTTTACTATTACATGATCTTTTGCAGTTGCAAAAAGAGCTTGATATTAATCCAATACTTTGAAGTTTTGCTGCTTCTTGAAAAGATATTTGTTCTGATAGTATCTTGTCAAGTTTAGAGCAAACAGTAATTCCAAGTATTTCAAGTTCATTAGCAGAATAATATGCATTAATTATACTATACTTGCATCCTAAATAATATTATTAATTGTTAGTTTTCTTAATAACCTTACAAGAAAGGTTAGAACAATTAGTTGCAAATTGATCAATTTTAGAAATATTTATTTGAACAAAATCACCAACTTTAAAATCAATTAATTTTCTCTTTTTTGTTATTTGTTTAGTCATCTTATCTGTATATAACTGAAGCTCACATCTGGCTGAATCTTGTAAGATTTGATGTTATGCATTATAGTCTTGGTTTGTAATATCATCAAGAGCTAAATTCAAATGCTATTTCAAGTTTATTAGATAAGTAAAAAAAAAAATTAATCATTATTTTAAGCAATCAAATATTATTATATAAAGTAATTTATATAATTATTATATTGAAGTGTTTGTTATTTATGCAATAGTGCTTGAAGTGATGGTGCTTGAGATGATAGTGCTTGAAATGATAGTGCTTGAGATAATAGTACTTGAAATGATGATGTTTGAGATGATGATGCTTGAGACAATGATACTTGAAATGATGATACTTGAGACGATAATACTTAAGGCAATAATATTTAAGGTAATAATGCTTGAGACAATGATATTTGAGATAATAATGTTTGAGGTAATATTGCTTGAGATGATATTATTTGAGATGATAGTACTTGAGGTAATAGTTCTTGAACCAATTGCTTCTGAGATAATAATTTTAAGGATGATGATTTCTTATATAATGATTCTGAGTATTTTGATTCTGAATCTTGTTCTAATATATAATAAATATATAAAATAATACTGTAAATAAAAATAAAATAAAAATAAAAATAAAAATTTACTATCCATTATATCATCATCCAGATTTATTATATTGTCTATTTGAATTTCAATTGTATTAGGAATTTCTTTTTCATTATAAATATTATTTGTATATAATTTATCAATTAAAGTACAGTTGTCACAAGGCTTATCTCCATAAACAAGTTCATAAGGTGTCTTTTTATGTGCATGACACTTTGAATTTTTCATGGCTATAATGATAAACCTTAAATATAAGATGTTAAATTATATAAATTCAAAACTATTATATAAGAAATTTATATGATAAAATATAAAATATAATTTCAAAATATATTTTTAATCTTAAACCAAAAGACTAGTCACTTCGACTAATTGTTTTTTTCTATTTACCCAACTTTTGTTCTAAAATTCCATTTGCATATTTAACCAATCTCTGAGATTGGAGATGATAAGGCCTTTCATTGATAACTTTTACTGATAGCCATAAAGCAATAAGCTCTTTAATGACTTGTGATACAAACTCTTTTTTATTATCAGATTGTAATATAGTTAGTGATAATCCAATTATATGAAAAAGATTAAATAAAAAGGATGTGACTTCAATTGGTTTCTTTAAAGTAAGTGCTCTGACCTAGAAAAATCTTGTAAAATGATTCCTTATATAACACACATACATAAATTCCTGAT